CCTGGCTATTTTTACTCCCCTGGATTCAGTAGAATTAATTATAAAGGCATGAATTAATACAGATTCCAGCTGTTTTGAATTACAAACACTATTCTATGAAAGATGTTTAAAAAACAACAAGTTTGAATTTGCTATTCCTAGAGCTCAACAGTTTGCTTAATGACTTCATTCTGACTATTAGTACACAACAAATTCACTTTCAGATACAATATTAAAATTGAAGGATGTGAAGGCAGAAGGTTGAATAGTGACAGTGCTTGTCAGGCACAGTTCACAACATTTTACTTAAGCCTGTAAAATTCTTACTTTTCCTGCCAATAATGTGCACATTTTAGGTGAGAGGACACATCTGAAAACTGCTTAAAATTAAAAGATTGAACTGCTCAGTTGTTCATTTTGTATCATCAGGACAGCCAAGGGCAATAAAAATGGGCTTACTTTGTCTTATTCTCTTTGTTTATAATTTGATAACAATAAGATTAGACTAATAATGACCCCTTACAACTGAAAAATTTGAATAAGTCCATTTTACTAAACAGAACTGTTTTTTCAGTGTCAACAAATTACCTTCATTTTGCTCAGATATAAGTGATATTGTATTATAAAATTACTTTAAACCTTAATTAAGGTAATCTTGGGTATATAACCTATAATAGATCTAAAGCACAGTGGCAGCCCTGAATGTGCTATCTGTAGAGACCAGCACATGAGAAGAAATGGCCCATATTGCTCAGAAAATTATATTCAGACTCCTGTTATAACTAGTTGATATAAGCAAATAGCATCTGTGAAACAGCTTACCTTTATAAAGCAGTATAAAATAACACATTATAAAACATCCCCATATGTTTTGTGCTATTGCCTTTCCAAAGATTTCCTGCCTCTATCTATTCAGATTTGCCTTAGGTAGATCTATGTATTCTTTGGGGAGTTCTGGTATTTCTCTGAATATATGGAGGCAGGACTAAGTTGTCTATACTCTTTACGTGAACACTGTTTTATTCCTGTTGATGTTATTTGGGGGCAAGTTTGGTTTTACATCAGCACTGGCAGTTGAAGAAATTATATTTACATGTTCAGACACAGATCACAGCCAGTCATCACCATAACATTACAAATACTTTTTTGTGCATAAATGAGTTTGAAATTAGAACAGTTCTGATTCTTTTCCTCTCTTTCTTTCCCTGACTTGTTCAGAATAGCTGCAACCTGTTATTATCCTATCACATAAACTCTGTTTTCCAGACTGACTGTGTTGTCTTTAACCTCTTCCTACCTATTTGTCATAAAATCTATTTTACCACAGTCTTACCTCTTCATGCTCCTTCTTCCTCCCTGCACTCTTGTTGACCCTAGAAGATCACATAATCACAGAATCATCTGTATTGGAAGGGGCCTTGAAGATCATCCAGTCCAGCCATTAACCTAACACTGACAGTTCCCAACTACACCATATCCATCAGCACTATGTCAGCCTGACTCTTAAATACCTCCAGGGATGGGGACTCTACTACCTCCCTGGGCAGCCCGTTCCAACTCCTAACAACCCTTTCTGGAAAGAAATGCTTCCTAATATCCAGTCTAAACCTTCCCTGGTGCAATTTGTGGACATTCCCTCTTGTCCTATCGCTTGTTACTTGGTTCAAGAGACTCATCCCCAGCTCTCTGCACCCTCCTGTCAGGGAGCTGTAGAGGGCGATGAGGTCTCCCCTCAGCCTCCTCTTCTCCAGACTAAACACCCCCAGTTCCCTCAGCCGCTCCCCGTACGACCTGTGCTCCAGACCCTGCACCAGCTTTGTTGCCCTTCTCTGGACACGCTCGAGTCATTCAATGTCCTTTTTGGAGTGAGGGGCCCAAAACTGAACACAGGAATCGAGGTGCGGCCTCAGCAGTGCTGAGTACAGGGGTCAGATCCCTTCCCTGTCCCTGCTGGCCACGCTATTGCTGGCACAAGCCAGGATGCCATTGGCCTTCTTGGCCCCCTGGGCACACTGCTGGCTCCTGTTCAGCCAGCTGTCAATCAACCCCCCCAGGTCCCTCTCTGACTGGCAGCTCTCCAGCCACTCCTCCCCAAGCCTGTAGCGCTGCTGGGGGTTGTTGTGGCCCAAGGGCAGCCCCCGGCATTTGGCCTTATTGAGACTCCTTCAGTTGGGCTCAGCCCATGGCTCCAGCCTGTCCAGGTTTCTGAATGTGTCAGTCTGGACCTCCTGCCCTCTCGGAAGCCTCTCCCTATTCTGGGTCATCTTCCTCCAGATATTCTGGGCTTTATCTGCGCATGTAGTACAGATGTTTCTGTGGTAGAGGTTTGATCTTCTTCCCATAGACCCTGAAATATTACTCCAGTAGGGTGATTCTTTTCTGCTTCCTTCAGTGCATCTCCCACTCCTCCTCTGGACCAATTTCTCCAGAAGTCGTCCTTAAAATGGGCAAAGTTTAGCTTGCTAATTCCTCCTCTGGAGAAGGTATTTACAAGGAGCTGCTGCAAATGTTTCTTTGTGAGAAAGTTTCACAAGCAACACTTCCAAACTTTCCTCATCTGCTGCTCTCAGCAGCGTGCTCTCTGTCAGCCCTCACTGGTCTGCAGTGTTAGACAGCAGAGCATGTCTCTTTCAAGATGTTTATCTCCAGGATGTACATGTTTGTCTTTTCTTGGCACTAAGTATTATGTAAAAAGTACTGAAGATTTAATCACATTTATTAAAAACAAGCAAGTAAAGGCTTTGAATATTCAAGAGGCATATCTGTATCTCTCCTGCTTGGGTTTTTTCAGTTTCTCTGGGTAGTTTCTGCTCTGCTATCAGAATGACCTGTCTCTCCTTCCTTAGATATCACTGATATTTATTGTCATGCAATGTCTGGATGGGTGCCATGATTTACACAAAAAGAATTTATGATTACTTCAGACAAAATAATAATTACTTTGCTAATTCTCAGGTATTTTAAACAGAGCAAAACACTTCTGATTGCAAAACATACATCACCAAAATATTTATTATTATTATTATTGTTGTTGTTGTTGTTGTTGTTGTTGTTATTAATAATCACCCATCAAAAGAGACTAATTTGTGTCTTGTCCTGGGGTCAGAAAAGGCATATAATATACAGAGCTGGCATTGGAACAGTAAATATCAACTCTTCTGATTTTACTTCTGTAATGTTTAAAGCAAGAGGGTTGACATTGATCTGCAACCATGGACAAATGAGTATTTAACATTAATGAAAAAAAACCTTTTCAAAGGACAAATGTATATTTAACATTAATGGAAAAAAACTTTTTCAAAGGTATATTAATTAGTCTGTTCCATGTCTTATTTCTGTTCTGCAAACATCCTTTTAGCTGATTTAAGATTTTGACAGCAAAAGTACCATTACTTCAAATTAACACATTTCTGAATCTTGTTCAGATTCTGGAATTGACTCTGGGTTAACTAGAGTTCTACTGCTTAGACCAAACTAGAGCAATTTAGAACTACACCAGAAGGATCTAGAGCCACCATCCTTTTGGTGCAGGGTCCCTGAATATGCTAGAACTGGTGCAATTCTGAAGCACAGCATGTCAAATACAGTCCAGGAATGGACAGTGCTGAGAACCCTATATCCTGGCCAACTGTGCTAGACAGAATATTCTACCTCTGCCCCAGTATAAGACTTGGATGTATGACACCAAAGGACCTGACTGATAGACACTACTGAGACCCAGATTTGCAGAAGAGCAGAGAAGATGAGCGAATGACACTCTGGACTGTGGCCATGTCCACCATTTGCTTTGGGCAGAAGATCTCTTCCCCCTTGATACCATGGTTTGCTGTCTTCAGAATTCAAAAAACTGTTCTGTGAAGAACATTCAGAAATCATATCCTTGCTCTCAGCTGGGATCAAGTCTACTTACTTCAAGTTGATTGTCTGGGCTGCTCTTTAAGAGCTCCTGTAGAATTTTCTTCAATTTACTTCCTAGGAATTCAGGTTACATCTAAAAAAAGGACTTCTTCCTTTCCCTCACATGTACAACAGCTAGGGCTCTTTGTCGTCATTGGGACCATCAGCATGGTCTGCTGTTCAGACTGGGCAGTACTTACTATTAACAAGAATGAAACATTTTGGTTAAAAAAAAAATCTATAGTCCTGATTCTTCTTATTTTATCACAGTGAGCACAGTGTAAGCTCTGCATAGTCCTTCTCTCTTTCACTTCTGAATGATTTATGTGAGAGACTCTACTATCATACATGATTTCTTGTTAGGATACTTTTCGTAAGAAAAGGTTATTCTTGCAACTATGCATCATAATGTCATGTCAAAACACAGTTTACTAAAATGGTGGCAGTCTGGATAATATGTCTATGCACAGGCTACCAAACATCTAAAATACTTAATCCAGACTACCAAAATCACACCACAGCAATACAGGAGCCCCTCTGAATTGCCTGTGTCATACTTTCTATTGCCAATCTATTTGCTTTCCATTTTCTCTAAAGTTTCTCAGATATCTTTTCTGCACCAAGCAGGTTTATTTATACCCTATTCTCTTTAACCAACAAACATTCATTATTACTGGAGGTCTCGTTAGACTTTTGAAAAAACACTGGTTGAACATGTATGCCTCCTGTAAAAAATCATTTTCTATTCAGTGCCCCAGGATGATGAATTTTTATTTTAATAACTTCTTTCCCAAATCTCCAAGTAGCTCTCAAAAGAGAGCTACTTGACACCTCCTGTCTCCCAATTCAGCATTTTAAGTGTTATTGAATTTTCATTTGCAAGTCCTTTGATCTACTGTAGAGGTACAAACCTACCTATTCAGTCATTCATTTCATATTTTGGTCCCTGAGGCAGCATAAGTAGCTGAGCTTTGATTTTGCATTATAAAAACAAGCACAGAATCCTTGTTGGCATAAATTCTGTTTAAGATATTGGGGCTATACTGATTTATTCCCGCTGAGGACTTGTCTCAAAGATGTTACTCTTCCACTCATTTTTTAACTTTCTCTGTTTTCTCTTCTAGGGCAACAGGCTTTGGCTTTTTGAATGCACTATGCAAAGCAGCAGCTGTACTTGGAAACTTAATATTTGGTTCCCTTGTTGGTATTACCAAGTCAATCCCTATTCTTCTTGCTTCTACTGTTCTAGTATGTGGAGGTCTGGTAGGACTTCGGCTTCCTGATACAAGAACACAGGTGTTGATGTAACTGGAAAAAGCCATTTACTATTTATTTATTTCTTCGTACAAATGTCAATTCTCCTGATCGATGGTGCAAAGGCTTCAGATTCTCAACTCTTAGTAGAGTGCTCAGATGTCAGAAATCAAACTCAAAAGATACTTTGGAGTGGCAGAGATTTAGAAATCTCTGTATGAAAGTTTTAAATTTCACTTTTGTTTGCATACATTGCTATTCAAAACCACCTAACTTCAAACGGCAAAGCTACCTCTTAAAACACTTTCAGTGACATGTCCAGGAAGGTAAAACCTTACTGATAATTAGGTTTAAAATGCAAGCAGCCATATTATATAAAAATATGTGATAAATTTGGCCATGACATTGTGAGCTTTTGTAACAATACAGACAGGCAAGTCAATCAGTATTGGTACAGAGAATGTTAACCTTATCAGTGCATGTAGCATAAATCAAGAAACACTACAGAATGCATCAGGATGGAGAATGCTGACCTTCTGCAGCTGTGTTTAGATGGTAAAAACTTGTAGCAATGTCTCTTTCTTGGGAAACCCTTTTAGGCAGATTCAGCCTAAAGTACATCTCGTATTTGCTGAGGAGAAGGCAACAGCTACTGCACGGGAAATGAAACACCCATATGGGTAAGCAGCAAAGAGAATAACACAATAAACCCTTTCACTCTTTAGTGCTGATTCTCCAGAAAAAAATTTGTTTTCTTTCCACTTGTGGCATTTGGAATATTTTTGCCATTTTTAGAAATTAATTTATCTTAATCCAGGAGTGATTCAATGCAAATATGTACGTTGTTGTAAGTATGAAAGAAAAATCAGAACAGTGAACTGTATGAAAAGTAAGATGCTTTCAGAAGTTTGTTTAGTATTTATGCTTCTAATACATTTTTATTTGTCACAGAATGGTTATAAAAATATCTGTTCATAGAATGCCACCTAGTAAATTTAGTCAGCTCATAAATTCAATACAGAGTATTATGTAATTAAAACATCTCAAAAGTTGGTGTTTTTTTAAATATATGTAAAAAAAGAGAAGAAATCATTAAAAATGTCTTAATTATTTTCACAGTTTATACACTTCTTTATATAACCATTTTCTCAGCTGACTTTTAATAGTTCTAGAGATATCTCACCGTTTAACACTTTTCAATGTCTCTCTGAAAGGCCATTAAGAAAGAAGCTATGACAAAGCGGCAGGGAGTTGTAATATTTTCATTAGACTAAGTGCAAGGATGGAGAATAACTGGTAGTAAATATATTCCTTCTAAGCGATATGCTATGGACTGTTCTGGATTACAGTAAAGCATTCCCCACCAGTCCTACTGCTCTGTAAAAGTCTGTGGAGTCTCTTTAAAATGTTAGCATTAAATATATAATACAAAGACATTTATAAAATTAGCAGATCCTTTGATGACAGAAACTGACATTGCTTTCAGTGGAGCTAAGACAACCTGTATCAGCTGATGAATTATCTGCAGTTTCAAGTCTCAAAGAACAAATCTGCTATAAAATATAAGGAAAAAATTATCAGTATTTTTTTAATTATATCTGACAACACTTATTAAGTGGTTGAATCATTGCCAAAGAAATTAGGCTGTCAGATAAGGTCATTGTGTAGTAAAATAGACTTTTTTCATTAATTTTTCTTCTGCTCCTATATGTGAACTTAGCTTTGCATAGTAATATCTATCACTGCGTTCTGTGTCAGTCATGGTCTTAGTCATAATGAAAGAGTCAATAGAAGTCCACATAAGATGATTAATCATTCATTACATTAAAGTTCACTGTTTAATTTACTGATTCCAGAGTTATATTTTTCAGTTACTAACAAATGCCTGTGCTACACATTGTAGCACTAAAATGTTAGCCCAAGATGTGGTTTTCTGCTATTAACAAATGGGAAAAGTAGCTGAATTTAAAAAGCTTGAGTGTGGAAAACTAGTGGGCATTTTCTTGATGTTGATAATTTAAATATGATATAGTAAGAAATAAAGTTTAAGAAATGTGTTTATTTTGCAGTATAATCAGTCAAGATATTTGAGATGAAATATTTTAAATTTAAATCTGATTTAAACATGTCTTTTAGATTTCTAACTTGTGTTAAAAAAAACAGGAGGAAGAATTATTTTTTTGTCAAGTTCCAGGTTAAGAACACAATGCTGGCCTTAGTTTTGCATCTGTGGCTTTTGTCCACTAACCATAGCTTTAATTAATTCAAGGCTGTTTTCTCCAGTGAGAATTATATTTGAGCCCTGTTTCTCTGTGCCATTCATTAGTAGCATGTGTCCACCTCCTTGTACCTACTGCACAACTTATTTTGAAATCTGAAGCCTCTGTACATGTTTGGAGTGAATATCAACAGCAATGGTAAAATATTACATTGTCTTGCTATGCACTGTCTGCTTGAAGTAGTATATTCTATCCATCTCTGTATGTAATTCTGAAAAACATTCAGATCCACCAATTCATGCCACCTGATCAGTGTGGAGAAAATGGGCCACAGAAAAATAAGGTCCAACTTTTGAGGGCTACAATTCAAGGTTAACACACTAAAATCTCATTACATGTAAAACTATGATGATTTCAGTGCTGGTTCTTATCATAAATTCTGGCTATGTCATAAAATGCAATTAAATCTGGATGGAGTGGAATACAGCAACAACAGGAATTAGTAAAGATGAACAAAATTCCCAACTATATGGACCTTACCAAGTCCAGAATTAGAGTGAATGTTCCAAGATAGGAAAAGGAAAAAAAGAATAGTGGATAGGAAATGGAAGAAAACATAAATGGAAGAGATGTACAAAGAAAAAAAATCCACTAACTTTTCCAACATATTAAAACTTAAAGCTAGAATTTCCCTAGCCGCTGAGACGGTTGGCTCAACAAATTTGGCAGAACTAGAGTGCAAGCCAGCATCAAAGCTGTTTGAAAAATCAATTGTTTGGGCATGACTGCAGTAAAGATTTATCTCATTAAAACAATAAAAGTTAATGCAATTTCAAGCTATAAATACTTGATTAGATAGGTACAATCCATAGGTTGGAACAGAAATACTTAATCTATGGAGATCTGGACACAAATGTTATTTATGTTATAAACTAAAGTGATCTGGATGGTATTTAGCAAATCTGTCTTTTTTTTGTATCTTCCAAAGCTATATCAGGTAATAAATATTGGACAGTAGGAATTGCACTTCCTTCCTATGTCTATTCACTTTTATTTTACACAAAGAATCACTTAGTGGCCTGGTTAGATTGCTGATACACACAGAGAGAACCAAATTTGATAGCATTTGTGTATCAGAGCTATCAAACATATATAATCAGAACTGCCTATCTGTCTGTCTTGGTCACTGAACTGACTGACCACTAATTGGAACCTCCTTTAAGTCTAAATTGAAGAAGGATATTAGGTCTAGTGCTCCTTTCCTGTAAAGCTGAAAGACTCATCCCAACGACAGCAATGACAAAAAATACAATGGCCCCTGAAGACAGAGGAAGACTGACAGCATTTAGAATCATAGTCACTGTGACAGTCAACGACTTGAAAATTTGAAAACTGTCCACAAGAGAGACCACATGTTTTCACTTTTGGCAAAGAAATTTTCTTTTAATTAGTTTTACTCCTTACAGGGTCTTTGATAGTAGAGATTGAATTAGCAGACTCATATTTCTTGAAAGCATCTTATTCATTTGTACATTTTAACCAGATTGGTGATATTCATGTTAGCACCTTGGTTGGAAGCATGTACTACAACAATTGGTATGCATTGCATTGATTGCTGAGCACGGATTCCTAGCAAGGGAACCAGGATTAGGTGCTCATGGTTTCTGGAGTGCTGAAGGGAATTTCTAATTAATTATATGAGAGGAAGCATTCCTCCTCTGTGCTTGATTTTAGCCAGTGTCCTTCCAGAGGTGTACACTACAAAATTTTGACACAGGTGAAAAGGTGTTAGCTCTCCTTCCTGATGGCTCCAATATTCTACTCTTTGTTCATCATCTTAGAAAAGTGGGCCAAAGTAAGACTGATAACTCAAGCTCTACTCTTTTTCTCTTCATGTCATTCCATTCATTCCATCTCAAATTGCTTTTCTTACCAAAAGTCCAATCTTAAAGAAAGCCAAAATTCATTGCTCATACTCTCACTTGCTTCATAGTAACATTCCATAAGAAGGTTTGCCACATATCTTTTACAGTTTGGCCATCCTTTTTTAAACCAAGATGGAAAGTGAGCTCAGAAGTCCTTCAGACAATCTTACCCTTGTGAGGCAGGGAGACTCCACATTCCCTATATATCCAGAAGGCTGAAGGAGGGGCATCCTTTCAGAATGGCCCTTGTTGGTCTCCTTCTGTTGTGGGTACAGATACGGTTGAATCTTCTTTTCTGTGCTCAGCTCCATTTGTAGGAAATATTATTCTCTGTTCTTGTTTTCTTTTTCTACCACTATGGAGATTTATCTTCATGAAACTGCTCTTGAGGCACAATTGCTGATTCCAGTTCTTAGCAATATGATATACTCCTCAGTCCCTCATATGGACAGCCACAGCGTGCTGGGCTTTAACTCTCTTCTCTGTTGTGAGTTTTAAAACAATCTTCATTAGTCAGAGAAAGATGTTTACATCCATTCACACCTCTTTACCTAAACAAAATTTTATCATGCTAATACAACCTACAAGACACGTTTCCTGTTTAATAACCTGGAAATGCAATTGAAATTTCAATCACAATGTTAAAAATTGAAACCTTTCAGTCAGGGGGTCAAAGACACAAGAAATGGAAACAGAAATGCTTCACTTCCTCTAGAGTCTTGAAAGAAAACACATGTTCAGTAATCATATTCCAGAAGAAAACATGTGGGAAAGACTGATTTTCCTCTGCTTTTCCTGCCTTCTTGTTCATTAAACTTACTGTTAAATGTTAGGTATTTGCCTGAATTAGTACTTTCCAATGCTACTAGTTCAGGAAACACAGCATGAAAAGACAGGCTTTTGCGTGCAGTTTGGAGGCAAGACAGGGACCAGGCAGTGATGTGAAATTAGCAGAGACATGTTAGGCAGGAAATCTGGTACTCAGTTCAGAACCTGAATTAAATAGAAGGCACCAATATATAATGCTACTTGCAGATCTCACTCACCTTCACTTACCCTTATCCAGTCTACAACCACTCCATGTGCTGAAATCAACCTCATTTCCTTTCTTCTAACATTGATATTTTCAACCAAGTGATGCAAAATATCATTGGATCCGTTATTGATATCTATCCATATTCTTTTTTTTTTTCCAATGCAGTGGCAATTACCCTACTTCTTCCTGCAGAGGAAGAAGGATCCTTCAATATTTCCTTCAATAGTGCTACATAGATGCGTAAAAGTATTATATAGAACTTCATCCACATTTAGCACCTTTCTTTGATGCAGTGACTTAATATGTCAGAAGCAAGAAAAAGACAAAATGGGCCTGATTTTTTACGTTTTTTGTTTGAATTATCTTCAAAGATAGTGGCCTGTAATATGTAGCTATGTATACTAGCCCTTGGAGTACATTCTGTCCAGTTAAAAGTGTATAAATCGGTAAGTTTTGGCAGTCTCTTCCCACAACATACACACAAGCTACATTTACTAGGACCAAAATACTAGGAAAAAAAAAAAGGGGAAAAATACAGGTGTGATTGGTTTCTGGGGTAAACAAACCTCCCTGCCTGACAAATGTCTGAAACATATTGCTTGCTTCTTACCAGTACACAGTCCAATAAATATTGGAGATTACTTAACAACAAAGGTATTTGTATGATGACCTGACACAAAAAGTATTGTCCTTATACACAGGGTATGCATGAATATGCATTTTTATGTCACATTACTGAGAAGATTTGTAGAAATCTTGCCCCTACTCTGGCCATCCACATTTCTGAGCCGTAGCCAGACACATCAGTCTGAAAGTGAGAGAGAGAAATTGCTGGCAGGCTGACTTTCATCACTCTCTCCACAGCTAACCACCTAAGTTCATTTTGCCTAGATCCTCAGGATCTGCTTTTTTGCTCAGTCTCCTGCTTTCTAATTTTGGACATCTACCACCTGACACTCAGTTTTCACCAGTAGTCCTGACCAAGTAAGTTGGATCTACTTGCTGCTAATGGACAGCACTCCTAACTCATCGCAAGCACACTACTCAGCAAGAGTCCAATGTCTTATGAGCTCCAGTTTCATCTGTTGTCTAGAGCTTGAGTTTTCACCTATTTCTCTCTGATAATGCTGCATGTTTTCTAAGCTATAAAACATGTATTCTATCCTCTTAATGACTGCCTTGTAAATATATGCTTAACCCGCACTGGCTATGTGGTAAAAGTAATTTGTGAATCTCATGTAAAACTGTCTTACCCAGTGAAAAGATGATCCTTCAAAAGAAGGGGTTCAGGAAAAAATAATGAAATGGAATCAAATGAAATGCAAACTATGAAGAGTAATATTTCAAGGCATAGGGTTCAATCACTTTTCTTTTTGTCAGCTGTTTTCCTTAAATCCTAGCCTGCAGTTATATAATACTGTATATTGGAAAGAAATATCTGCAGCTAGTGGTGAATACACATAGAAAACCACTTGTGGGTGAGTATACACACATATATACACATAGCCCTCCCTATAACATAGATAGATGTAAGCCTTACAAACCAGATTCTCATACCATTCTCAGTGACAGTTACTTTCTGCATTTTGCTTTATGCTTTGAACACAGATAACAACCTGCTCTGCTTCTTATGCAGAACCCTTTACTTGTTCTTGTGCAAAATTGTTAGGATGCCAAATTTCATCTCAGCTGGCCATTAGGTTTTGATCATTGAAAGGGAACTCCGGAAAGGGTCTGAAAAATGAGCTCTGAATTCACTGTAGCCTTCCCCAATACCACCACACTGTGCAAAGCAGCAAACCAGCACATGATGCAAAGGCACTGGTCATGTTCCAGTGACTAGGAGACACAGCACTCTCAGATACATAAAATACCAAAAGAGATGGATTTTGTCTTATTCAACTAAAAGTCCTTCAACATGTTCCATGGGGATCTCAACATGTTAACTTCTATGTAACATATGAGAAAATGTCTGTGTCTTTCTGTATTGTATGTTTATCATTGTTTCTGCGTACATAGCTGCTGTCACTCTAGTAATGTGGCTAAACAATTGTTTGCTGCTGTTCTTATCAGCAATCTTTGACCAACCTGAAACAGAGCCATTGCCAGGGTGTCTTTCAATTAATGATTAACTCTCACAAAGATCTTCTACAGTAATTCGTGTTGTATAAAGTAATTGCCATTATAATTCAAGCAAATACAGTGTGAAAATAGCAGCACATGCACACAGAGCAGTGAGGGTGGAGACAGCAATTTCAAAAGCTCTGGCAGCTGCTACATTTCTCCTTTCCTCTTCACAGCATGTTCACCCTTTGCAGTGTGCTTTCTCTGGTGGGGGACATGCATGCGTTCTGCAAAACCAAGAAAGCAGCAGAAGGAGGAGCATATTCCTTCCACAAGACTTAACCTTGTATATTTGTTATAGCAAAGCCAACTCTATACTAAGATCAAAACAAAGAAACAAACCCAAGCAGCTTACATTTTTTTTCCCCCCCCGTATGTTCTGTGTCTTCACAGACTGAATACCAGTCTATGCCAAACCTGTGGGAGGAAACTATGAAAGGGTAGCAATGCTGACATGATAGTACTTTTGGGAAGCAGTGGGTCTTTCCAAAAGAGAAGCATACTCACTGAGTGAGACTAGAGCATATAGTTTCTAGTACCTTCTATTTGGAAATCTGTAAACATAGATTAAAACCAAAAGTTTAGAAGGAAAAGGAAAATATTAAAATTTAGAGAGCAATTTATAAAGCACAGCCTCCCAACATCTCTTTCGGAGAAACCTTACGGGCTCTTTGCTGTTTCTTCCTGCCACAGATTCCTTCTGATACAGTGACTGGTTTCATCAGTGCTTAACTGGTGAAATTAAAGTTTTCACCGATATTTGCAACAAAAATGAGAGCAGGTATGAAATTAACATTGTAGGAAAGCTAGCTCATTTATAGAGTTTTTAAAAATGCACCCAGTTGCTATTAACTGTATTTATTTTCTTCCTAGTAGTTTAGAATCCTACAGAGTACTAAATGAAACTAGTATTTTGTGTATAAACTGGTCCCTGTTTAAATCAACAGCAATTTGCAGAATTGGGATCTTAGCTTTCTCTTTCAAAACTATTAAATGCATGATTGTGTATACTGTCATGCTGGAATTGCTCTTGTGAGAGAAATGTGTTATTTTATCCTTTATTTTTAACATGAATAATTTTAGCCTGCCTTTTTCCTATGAATGTAATGTTTCCCAATCAGTAAAAGGATTTTAATAACATCCAATGCTGGAAGCCTAATAAATCAACTGACAGCTTAATTTAACCATTTTCTATAGAATATTGTATTAAAAAATCCAAATTAAAGCTTTCCAAAAATTTGCTGTGTTAGGCTCAGCTTCATAACATTGTGCCAACTAAATTGTATCTCAAACTTGGCCTCAAATACGTACAACAATGTACTATACATAATCAGATAGGATTTTTTAAGTGATCAGTTTCCTTTGCAGGTAGTGGCATGCAGAAGTCAAGCATCAAGTACAAGGTACTGAAAGTAGACGTCTTTGCTTTCACTGTAATTTATTGTCATTGCTGGGTTACCAATTTTCTTAAAAACTTGTCAGCATTTTCTGATGTTGAGCCACAGAAGGAAATGAATTATTTCCTAGTTTTTTGTGAGCTGTTTTCTGCTCCTAGGTTCTCCTACTAAACTTCCACTCAAATTGCCAACTGCTCTGAGACAACTAGGAGTACAATTTTTCAAACTGTCTTTAAAGTACAGAAGTGCAGGTGTGTTAGTGTGCATATGTTGTCAAAGAAATCATAACCATTTCTGACAGTCTCCATTTTTTAATGCAAGGACACATGTACATATTGTATATATGGTAATGAGCTACTTAGAAGTCAGATTCCCATTTATACATGTTTACTTACAGATCGGCTAATCTCCAACAAGATCTTGGCAATGGTCCTGACCTCTCTGTTTCTTTCTTTCTTTGCTTTCTTTACTGCTGTGTATGATCTCCTGTAAAGCAGGTTACAGTCATCACTATTGTATATATGTGTTTGCATGTGTGTGCCTTGATAAATCTCTCTTTCGGAGTTCTGAAATTTTCATTTCAAGTCCAGCCGGCACAATTGTGAACTCATCTTTCCAGTATGCTCCTCTGTATCAGATTGCCAACTTTCAGAATGTTTGACCAAGTGTTTTGAATAAGCCCCCTGAGGAAAGCTGTCTGTATACTTGTGAAAGGGCATGCTCTGTGTAGGATGACTGTGTACAGTATAAATCTATAAAACGTGGAAGTGTTTATAAATTTATCTGCCAAATATTTATCATCCATGTAACAAATGCAAAGTTATTTAGTGTACATCAGATTAATAAAGGGGCATTTTTTGCTCCACTATATTCAAATAAAGATTTGTTCTCTGCAATGAATACATATCAGGTGTGATGATAGCCAGAACATCATACATCACTACCCACAAAATACTGAAAACAGATGTTTTAGCTTAATTAGTTCTTTATAAAGGTTCTCTATCTATCTCATCTTTAGTGCCTGTAACAGAGGTTGAACATGTATTAAAAGAAAACATGGAACAAGTTAGTAAAGTTAAAGAAATCTAAATGACCATTAAAAAAAAAAAAAAAAAAAAGAAAGAGACAAAGTTCTTTAGTTAACCATCTGGGATTCATATTTTTATAGTACATAATTGCACAAAACAGACATCTGCCCTTTCACTACATAACTGCACTGCAGGGGTATGTTATCACCAAAAGAGTCTAATCTAACTCTATATGAAAAGCATTCTGCTGCAAGGTATGATGATCTATGCATCCAAAAGGCCAATGGGAATTTATACAATAAAGTATGGTTCCATAAGAACCTGGTATTCACCAAAAAAAAGCCCCAAACCTCAAAAACTAAAGCAGCACTGCAACATTAGTTCTTCATTGCATTTATGTACTAAAGGCCTCTGAAAAGCTTCAGAGATCAACAGATCAAATGTGGTAGCTTTAAAATAACAAAAAACTGCTGAGTTATTTACATTCTGCCGTCCCCATAACTGGATAGGAAATATATTTCCAAATATAGGTTATTCTGAACAGATGATAGACTAAACAAAACACACAGGCCTCTTCAGCTCTATCACTAATAGGGAAAATTTAAACTACATGTGAATTGAAGTATTTTTCAGCTCATGCAAGAACACTGTTTGCAAAACCCTACAACCAAGAACATGCATGATTTGCAACTGGAGTTTTTATACAGAAAAGCGCAGAAAAAACTTTCTCTGTTTATTAAGTACAACCAACAGAAATACTACTCTGTATTTTAGATCTCCTTAGCTGTACACCCTCATCTACCTGCACTGAAGGGGATTGGTAGCACTGCTCTCGTCCTCTAGTGGAGATGAAGCCTTTAAGGTTGTCTCCTACTCTCCTTCTGGGAAGAAATAAACCTCTTTTGTGCAGTAGATAACAATCCAAAGGGGAGTGTGGGAGAGGATTTACACATATTCTTCACAGCTACCTTTCAGAAACTTCTCTAGAAAACGTTTAGGAGCAGGGAATCTTGTGTTGGAGCACATAATCCTGCAAAAAGGAAACTTCAGCGTATAGAACTACATTTCTCTAAAGAATTTTGCAAGCATATGTGTATATAGTCCTGGCTGACACAGTTACGCTAGCAAAAAGGTGATGCTTAATTCAGGGCACTCTGTGTGTGTGTGGCTATATATTGTGTGAGACAAGGCAAGTACAAAGGCTGTGGATGCAAATGTAAGAGGAGAAGGCATTTTGTAGTAGCCAGCTCTGTGTTACCTGAGACCAAATGTTAAAATAGATCATGTGCATCCTCTATATCCTTTGATTTCCACTAGGATGCCAACTAGGCTATGATTACTATTTAATCCACTGCAACTGTAAAATTACACACATGATATATTAGACTAATGTGAGATTGGTATCTAACCTGAACCATTTCCCATCCTATTTAGTCATCTCTGGAACTTTTTTATAGCACTTTACACTGACAACAGAGAAAAGAAACATTGGCATAAATTTCTCATAGTCTTTCCTGAAAATATTAAGATGAGCAGAAAATCATGCCATTCTATATGTTTTCTTTCACAATATGCAGGTGGATCGGATCCACTCTTTCTGCAGATGAATTTCATATCTTGCTCTCAGAGTGGACCTAACTGGTCTGATCAGGACTTCAGCAATGATTTTGCATTACTATAGCAGACTAAAGTTGTATGTGTGAAATAGCTTGGGAAGACACCAAAAGCCAAATTATGGAGAGACTTCCTGAAAGAAAACAATAGAGCTTCAAGTAAGGGCCTGACCACATCAGTTGCTGAAATATGCAAACACAAAGGTTTGCCAGCTGTGATCTATGTATCACTATTGACTACACTAATGTCTTCAAAGTGCTATATGACTTTTGCTCAGAAAGCCAGATGCCATCCATGCATTTAGACCTAGATGCAGAAGCTGCAGCTGCTGCCATCATTGGTAATGCCTGAACAAACTACATCTGGAAACGCCTGCGCTAATCAATCCAGGCAATGTTTCCAGCTTTGAAAATAAGAAGACAAAGCACTGTCAGCCTTATCAATCCTTGAGTAACTTCCGTTATCCTTCAGAAAAATCAGACTGTGGCACTTCCAATCACAGAATGCAAAATTGTGAAAGTAGTCCTCAAACACAGTGTCCAGTGCTGAAAAAAGCAGGTACTTAAGAATCGTTAGCTACAAGAATGAAGTGTGAAATGCCTGCTGTAACCACTTAAAATGTTCTGGATATCCAGATAGTTTGGCTGAATTCTGATCAGATACAGTCTAGGCTACAGATCTAATCTCAACTCCCCCACAGGCAAATGGTACTTTAATTATAAAAATTTCATGATAATGCACAGAGTTGAGTTATTGCAGAACAACAGTGGTTTTGTCAGTGGTTACAATAGCTCTGAACTGTGCATTTTACAACAGGTTCTATCATAACATATTTAATTGTGTTTGTTGTTTGTGCAAAGCACTTAACCCCAGGACTCTAGTGAGGTTCTTGACTTTAAATAAAAACAATCTTTGCTTTGCAGTCACATTGGATTTTGCAGAGACTAGGAATGAGAAATCTGATAAAACTAAGTGTAACCCACATTCTCCAGTGTCCTGGAAGTGAAGCCATTAGTGGAGTCTTATATTTGCTACATGTCTTGCCTTTGAGTGGCTGTACTTGCACATACTTCCCTGAGGACTCCCTTGCAAACTCCAGATTCTGCCTACAAACAGCCTTGCAGCATTGGTGGTAGAACTAGACTATTTGAAAGTAAATCCTCTTGGTACATAGTATTACATATCAGTTAAGAACTATTTTTCCCAGGTTTATTTCCCATCCAGCAGGTCTGGGCCTCTGGTGAACTCTATGAGTATGTTTCTCCCTCCCTCACATTCTGTTCATAAGGAGCTACAGAAATTATTGCTTTGTTACTGTCCAGTAAAATTATATAGAAAATAAGCTCAGGCTCCTTGAGAACAATTAGTCAGCAACCCAATTCTCATTATGCAGGAGGAGTTTGACTTTCTCCTTTCAGTTTTTACCTAAAATCAGAGCTTTTAAAATTTGAATAAAATGGTGAGTCTGTTCAGGGGGAAAAAAAAAAAAAAAAAAAAAAAATGTAACTAACTATTAGTAAAGATGTTGGAGTAGGACCAAGGAAAGTAGGATATTGCTATTGTCTTGGGTTACAGCAATATCAGTATTATACTGCTAGTGTGAACTCATCAGTCTTTGGTAGGGCTATCATACTGTGTTTTCTGATCTAAAATATATATAAAATACCTAAATGTTAGAGACCAGAATACATGGGCATACAATCTCCAGTTACCAGGGAATAACTCCAGACTTGACTTGGCAAAAGTCTATCAGAACTATTAATTGGTGGTAAACTGAAAGAAACAAAAGTGGATAAGAGCACACATCTGTCTAAGTCATCTGTAATTAAATATATTACTTTGCATTGTTATTGTTACATGAATGTGGAAAAAGGAAAAATATTTGTTCACAATGACACAGGACCCTCCGTATGTGGAAACATTAACTCTGGCCATGTCAAGGAATTTTACTGACAGTAATCTTGTTATAGAAAATAAACAGGCTCAATTATTGAAACAGTGCAATTACCAATCTGACCCACAGGTGGAGTAAGAAAATGAACTAATGAAAGGGATAAGGAAAGACATTATTAACATAAACCTCAGAGAGAGTTTCAGCTGTCATTGCCCAGCAGGAGACTGAGATCCTTCACTTGTGGGTAAAACCACTGCCCGGGTACCATACGTCTCATGAAAAGGGTAAGTCCTGAGGCAGACACGGGCTCACCTCTGCCATGTGTTTTGGTGCGACAAGTATTGAGCAGAGAGTGGCTCCAGGCCTCTCCAAAAGCGGTGCTGCCATAACCCAGTGAACCAGTGTCAGGATCCCAACACTCCCCAACCTACACAGTCTTCTGGTTCATCTTCACCTGGAATTTCACATGCTGATTTTACTACTGCAGCCACAATTGATTTGAGATCTCATTATCTGAGGAATACCTTTTTTTTTCCCTCTGAAAAAAAAACAATGCCACTTCCAGAAGTGTAATTCAAACTTAAGCTATTTTGATTTAAATAAGAGGAGGCTGCTGTGTTCCCTGTGAAGGGTCCTGGATGCTGGAATTAGCTCTCCTCACTGAGTCTCCCAGAGCCTGAATTTGTCAGTCTTTTAGACATGTTCTTCATTTTTTTACACTAATGTGAATAATGAGGAGCTTTTCAAAAGGCTGGAGCTGTGCCAGTTGAAAAGTGGTGGAAATAAGAAGACCAGAATTAATCTAGTGGAAATCCATGGGAGTTCAGCCTGTGCTTTATCTGTGGGGCAACTGTTGGCAGGCAAGAAATAGTTGTAGGTTGCCTTAGCTGTCACTTGGTACACTGTAAATGCAAAGCCCCTAGCACTCTGCCTTGAGAGTAATAAATAAATAAAACATTAATGAGTGAATAATGCATAGACTTTTAGTGGAGTGGAAACATTGCTAAGCACATGCAATCACAAAGAAGCACACAGATGCTGTATTTTAAAAAAAAAAAAAAAAAAAAAAAAAAAAAAAAAATGTGGATAACATGTGAGGAGACGATAAAGATTTTACCTTTGCTATATCCAAACTAACTGATGAAGAATGCTTTTTTGCTGAATTTGTGAGCTGCAGCCAAGCATAGATGTTCTCTGATTTCAAGCAGTTCTGAATTAATTTTTATGGTCATTCATTATGTCTAGTCAAGGAGGGTCACTCCATGCCAAAGTACACTGTTAAATCAATAAATATTTATTCCAATAGGCAAATGGAAAAAGGTCTTTGCTGGCAGAGTTCTTACAGAAAGAGTTCCACCTCTGTCTT